GTATGATAACAAATGATGTGTTAATGATATAAAGAAATTTGTAAGAAGGGAGTGAAGCATTGCGGGAAGCCATGGGAGGGAGGAGAGGAAGGGAATGGGGTAAACAATGGACTGAATGATTTAATTTTATGTGTTATGTTCCTAAGAAAATAATAAAATTTGTTTACCAAAAAAAAAAAAAAAAGAAATTAGTCACTTTAAGGAATTAAGAGAAAAAAAATGTATTTAGATTAAAAACAGGTGTCTTTTTCTTTGGTTGACGCATTTTAGCTTGCCTTTGCCTTTACAAAAGCAATGGAAATGTAGCCAAACAGATCAGTGAAAGCATTAATCTGCCTTTATGGGAATGCACTGGAGTGATTATTCCACAAGATGGCACCAAGGGAATAGTTATCTTGCCTTGAGACAGCAGGGGGAGAAAACACAGCAATAGATCTTCTATTCTTAATCTCTTATTGTTTCTTAAGCTTTTGCAACTCTGGGGAATCATGGGGGGCATTAGGCGCTATTTTGAAGCTGGGAAATTAGATGCAATTGGAGAAAACCAATTGAAGGTGGTAGTGGGAGATCGATCCATTGCTCTCCAGAAGTGTGGGGTGTCTTTTCACTCCCCCCCCCCAATTCTCTAATTTGCAATTTACTCCCTTTACCCTGTAGGAGAGGAACCATGGCTCAGTACCAGAACATGTGCTTTGCCTGTAAAATGTCCCAGGTTCTGCCTGTCATCCTCCGCTAAAGTATCTTCATGTGGCATAATTTGGGAAAGATCTTCCTCTGCTGGGAGGCCACTGCCAGTCAAAGTAGGCAGTTCTGAGCTCGATGGACCCAATGGTCACACTCTGTATAAGGCACCCTACATCAGCCAGCGTGGCGTAGTGGTTAGGGAGCTCAGAGCTGGACCAGGAGCTGGGACATATAAGGCACCCTACATCAGCCAGCGTGGTGTAGTGGTTAGGGAGCTGGACCAGGAGCTGAGAGACCCAGGTTCAATTCCTCAGTCTGTTGTGACAGCTCACTTACATGACCTTGGGCTGGTCTGTCTCTCTCTCATTCTCTCTCAGCCTAATCTGGTGATGGTTAGGATAAAATGGAGGAGGGGGGAGAACCAAGTTGTAAGCCACTTGGGGGACCCCATTGGGGAGAAAAATGGGGTATAAATATCTAAATATGCCTGTGGAAGAATGAACAGAGGCCACAGTGAGAAAAATCCTGCAGGAGGTGACCCCAATGTGTGCCTCTCAGCACATGACAAGAGATACGCTGAGGTCCTTCTTGTTTGGCGTTCCCTCTGTGGTTATCTGTGTTGCTCATTTGTCCTTTCCTCATTGCAGGTTCAGCCGTCAGGCAACGAGGAATGGAGCAAAATCCCAGCTGAACAGCCATGAAGCCAAGGTGAAAGGACCAGAGCCTGTGATTAGCCAGATCATTGACAAACTGAAACACATCAACCAGGTAAGTGACAGTAAGGCTGCTGGCTTGAAATAAAGGACCACCGAGGAGGGGCTGGGCTTCCATTTACTGGGCTCAAACGGGGTTCCACTTAGTGGGTTCTGTGTGTACCTGGTTGGGGACTATAACATTCCTAACTATTTAGTAATGCTTTGTCATACTTGCCTCCTGAATCGATCAATTGTGTTGCCAGGCTCTTGTTCAATGTTTTCTGTTAGTAAAAGTTTTCACGAATATACATTAGAGATGTGATTTAAAAAAGAAATAGCACCTTGGCAGCTATCTGGCAGAAATGTGGGATGCAAATATTTCAAAGAATAAATATTACATGCCATCAAAATTATCCAGGTTTTCCAAGGACTCTAGAACCCCAGTTCCCAAGCCAAGGGATGGACTGCTAATTAAAAACTGCCCATATTGAGTGTAGTAGGGATGGTGTGGGGCCATGGTTGGCTGCACCTGAGCCTAGGCATGAAAGCTGTACTGCGATATGGCAGAAACACTCTAAAGATCTTCTAGTCTATTATTGGAGCTGCTGACTGGCGCTTTGTTCAGAAGGTGCATCTCTCTCTCTTTTTGGTATGTGTGTGTGTTAGTGGAGTATACTGATATTTTTCTATTGTCTATATTACCATTTTATGACCTGATGTGTTATGTTATGGCCTATGGCTAAGACAATAAACTTATACTACTGAGTGTGTTAGTGTGCGTGTATGTGTGTGCCTGGAAGTCATAACTGACTTCTGGTGAGGGCTTGGATGTTGAGAGAAGTGGCTTGCTATTGCCTACCTCTGCATCCCCGCCCTGGTATTCTTTGGAGGTTTCCCATCCAAGAACATGCCAGGGTCAGCCCTGTTTAGCTACTGAGATCTGACGCGATCAGGCTTGCCTGGGCTACCAAGGCCAGGGCTGGAGGGTGCATCTCTGTTGATCAGACAAGGACACTAAGCAACAGTGAGCAGACTTTTCAGACTGCAGGCCACATCTGGGGGTCTGCCTGCTTTTGAAGCTTCCAGATTAGATGTAAGCTCTTCCTGTTTCCATCACCACGAAACAGGGTCAGTGTCCAGCTTGAAGCCCTCAAATGTAGGTAGAGACCCAGAAGGTGCTCCTTCTGCTGCTCTTAGTTATCCTCACCCCTCTGTTTAACAATCTTCTGAGAATGCCGATCACTAGCCATTTCAGATGGGCTGATGCTTTCAAGAAGTTATTAAGCAGTATGAGGGCTAGATGAAAAGGTCTTGTGGGCTTGGATGCATATCTTCCAGGGCATAACTTTCCTGTCTCCAGTTTAAGCCCAGATTGCTTGTGTATCCTTGTCTTCAGGCACAAAGTGGGTGCTTAGAGCAGGGGTGTCAAACATATAGCCCACGGACCAGATCCGGCCCCTGCACTGTTCCTATCCAGCTTGCGAGCAACTGGCTCTCTGCTGTTTCCTGCTTCCTGTTCCTTCTTCCTGTTTCCTGCATCGCAGATCCTTTTGCCCAGTCTCTCCAATTTCCTGCTTCACAGAGGAGAGAAAGAAAGCCAAACTTCTCTTCCCTTGATTGGCTGAGGGCTCCTCCTCCTCTGGGGAGGGAGGGGGAAGGAAAGAGCCAGAGAGAGAGAAAAAATGGAGTCCCATGGCACTTTTAAGACCAACAATGTTTTATTCCAAGTATAACTTTTGTGTGCAAGCACACTTCTTCAGAAAAAGGGAGGGGGGAAGAGCCAGAGAGAAAAAGTCCTGTGGAATCTTTAAGACAAACAACATTTTATTCCAGGTATAAGCTTGTGTGTGTGTGTGCACACTTCTTCAGAGGGAGGAAGGGGGAGTGAAAGAGCCACAGAGAGATCCCCCTTTCCAGTTCGAGGGAGTCCCATGGTACTTGTAGAGATCCCCCTTTCCAGTTCTAATGGAGGGGGGGAACCTAACAGCACGGCTTGCATTCTTTATTAGTGGAAGGAAGCAAGAGTCCACTAGCACCTTAATGACTAACAAAATTAGCAGCAGGGTAGGAGCTTTCGAGAGTCACTGCTCACTTCTTAAGAAACAGCTAGAATGTGGGTCCATCTGTCCTTATATCTTGGAGGGTGAAGTGATTTCAGATGCCAAATGACAATAGCAGAGATTGGTAATGAGAGAAGAAACCTAGGTCTCAGTTCAATCCAGGAGGCTGCATTATCTTGAGCTTCATTGCAATTCAGCAGTCTCTCTTTCTAATCTCCCTTTGAAATTCCTTTGTAGGAGAACTGCTACTCTTAGGTCAGTAACTGAATGTCCTGGAAGGTTAAAATGTCCCCCCACTAGTTTTCAAATGTTGTGGTTTCTAATAGTGATAGAAAGACTAAGAGTCCAGTAGCATCTTAAAGACTAACAAAATTTGTGGTAGGGCATGTACTTTCATGAGTCCCTGCTTACTTCTTCAGACTTATTTCCATTTATTCTTTGCATCTTCCTGAACTAAATCCTCATGTACCAAACTGAGACCTATGTTTCCTGTCTCTCAGCTGATTTCAGGGTTTTTTCTTTTTTATGTATGGATGGGTACATTCATGCACGTGTGTACTTGTTGGGTGATAATGAGATATTGAAAAAATGGTATTTAGCAGAGATAAGATGGTCCAGCAGAGCCAGAGTAAAATAATTCAGACTCAGAGTCCATGTGTGATTAAAATATAAAGTTTTTACTAAATTCTAATGGGAAGGGTAACGGGGATGAAAATAACAACAGAGCAAAATCTACTACATCCTTACTCTACAAAGACAAAACTAGAAGAGAGAGATTATGACCACTCTTCTTCTTTCTCAGAACACCAAACAAAGACGGGAAGAGAAGCCATAAAATGGTAATACACCTTGACACTTTAGTCCCAATCAAATTCCTAGATCAGGGAGAAAATTCCCAGGCATTCTATATCTAAAGAACATTGGTTACATGAGAAACATGTGACTTCCTGTGAGTAACATAAACAAACATTTAACTCAAATTCAAATTCACCCAGGCACTCAATCACAGGCAAAACAATGCCCCTTCCACTTCCTCTCAATTACAGGCAATCCCAGTCAAACAGTGCCCGTTCCTCTCCCACACTCAATCAGCCAGGACTCTGCAAGAACTCTAAGTGCTTCCACACACTGCTAAACACAGTTTTCCCACAAAATATCCTTAGCTGAATTCTCTCAGCTGAAAGCAAGTAAAAGAAACCCACTCACCTCTCTCACAGCTCTCTCTCCTGCTCCTGCTCAGAGCTCAGCTGGGTCTCCTCTGCCTCTGGCAAGGTGCTTCCTTAAATAGAGGCCTCCCCCAGCAGAGGTCAGGCAGCAGCTATTCAAATTCACCCAGGCACTCAATCACAGGCAAAACAATGCCCCTTCCACTTCCTCTCAATTACAGTCAATCCCAGTCAAACAATGCCCCTTCCTCCCTCAATCAGCCAGGACTTTGCAACAACTCTAAGTGCTTCCACACACTGCAAAACACAGTTTTCCCACACAATATCCTCAGCTGAATCCTCTCAGCTGAAAGCAAGTTAAAAAAAACCACTCACCCCTCTAGCAGCTCTCTCTCCTGCTGCTGCTCAGAGCTCAGCTGGGTCTCCTATTGGTAACGTTTTACTACGGCTTGGCTTTGTGTGATTGGGACTTTTGCTCGGACTCTTTTGATCTCTCTGGCTTGACTCTTGGACTGGACTATAAACTTTCCCTCTCTGCCTTGCCCCACTGGCCCTGTCGTGACACGTCGACTCAAAAAGGTGCAGGCAGCGGTGGGACTTTGCTACTATTCGGCTTCCCCCTCCCACTGACTTCTCCTTTCTTTTAGGGCTTTTAGGGCTCACGTTTTCATTAGGTGTATTAGCCATGGAAACATGCCTTCGCGTCTGCTCTTAGGAAAAGATCGGCCACAGATTATGCTCCTTGAAACTCTGAACTCTCTAGACCTGCCGTGGGATCAGACTCTCATTTCTCACCATCAAAAGCACCTAATCCACGTTCCCGACGCTTTGTGCAAGGTTCATTGCCACAGAATGGAAAGTGCAGCGAGTTTGCTCCCAGTGAGGATAAGGAAGCCCGGGACACCTAATTGATGGCAGGGTTGCCTTCGAAGTGACGCAGGGCGCCCCTCTCCCCCCATCAAATCCAGCAGTCTGTATCTTTCGGAGGCTGGAGGTCACCACTCACCGGGGAGTTTCAATACAGGCGGCCGAAGTCCCAGGCCTGCATAAACCACTCCCCGCCCAGCAGAAATCTCACCTTCGGCCTCTCCAATGGTGTGAAGGCAGCGCTCAAGATCAGGAAGGCGTGGGGGGGGCTGCCTGGCTGGCGCTAACCTTCCCCTTCAAATGCGAGGGAAAGGAGCGGGGTTGGCTGCCTCCCGCCATGGATGGGGGGATCGTGCCAGAAGCAGGCCCCCTGAGAAAAACACTCCCCCCCCCCAGCAAAACGTTGTTAGCTACAGGGCTGCACACATCTGACCCCACTTCAACCCAACTGCACTAAATAAATTGAATAGTTTTAAGTTATGTTAATTCTTTGTAGAATTGGAAACATCTAGGCAATCTTTAAATAATTTATTTATTCATACTGGTGAAATCTTTAGCAACCTAATTAGTGCAGGCACCTTAAGAGGCCATCCAATGGATTTGCCAGTATATGGGTAATCCCTCTCCAGTTCCAAGCACAGAGTGATAAGCAAGCTGTTCCTCACGCATCATTCTCCATATAACAAAGTTGTGCCAAGAGATGCTGGACATCAAGGGCCTTTCCCCAGCATCAGCCAGCATGAAGTTTCAGACACTGACCAAGACCCACAAGAATTCTCTCCCCAGGAATCTGGATTGGACAATAAGTGTCCAGCTCAGTCAACTCAAGTTCAGTTTTTGCATGAGGTTGATTTGAGGTGGGGTGTTTATATGTTTTGAGGACTCTGTCTTGATTTTTATGTGCAGAGAAGTTCTTCATGGCAAGGCAGAAGAAGGTGGAGACCAATGTTCCCTCTAAGCTGTGGAGTCTTGTGAGCAAA